AACATAAATGACTGGTATCGGAGGAATCGATATTTCAGGATCGATCCGCACATCACTAATATGCATATACTGCATACCATATGATAAAAATATAAAGACAAAAATGTGTCCTATACAATATAATACCTGCTTTACCTTTATCCTTGGTGACATCATTAACAAACAAGTCTTGAGGTCGTCCAGCAAAATCCCTAGCCTTGGTCACCATGGCCTCCTTTATGGCCTTCACCCCATTGATGATTACTGCTGGTTTAGGGCCAATAAAGATACTGTAGACGTCTCCATAAGACTTCCTCAGCTGGGAGGGAAGGCGATAACAAGCACAGGATAAGTCATATGTTTAAAGTGGGCTAAACATATTTGCACAGCTGAGCACACGATATAGAAACATTGCATTTAAATATTACAAAACATACAGGGAGGATAAAATGCATTTAGGGACAAACCTCCTGTGTAGATCTTTGTGTGGTTCCTAATATAGCAGCCTGCTGTAACATGATTTAAGACCGTGCATAATGGCACCTTTGTGTGATATGGTTATTGTCAACCAATCAGATGCAAATGTATCCATGTCCAACCAGAAGAGACTCACCCCAGGACAGTTTGCTTGCTGGCACGTGTCCTAACCCACCAAAACCTTTTGTCTCCTTTATAACTGCTGAACTATGAAACGAATGAGCGTGTTGTACTAACACACACCCATACATTGTAGAATAACTATCTTATCTGATGCAATACTTTGGTAAAATATTGGTACTCTGCTGTTGTTTATAAAAAACTGTTTTTAAAATAGCTTGAAGGACAAAAAATAACAACTTCCTTTCATTCAAATTATAAACATATTTAATAAATATCTACATAAAGATGTTAGAAAACTCCTGTTGTGTAAGAGGTGCAGTACTGCTGGGACACGTGCCAAGTTCATGTTTTGCAATCACACAGAGCAAACGGGTGCACTGTTGTTGCTGCCAGGTAATTTATGCCCTTACAGCTCAAGATGATTTTGGTTGTCATTATGTTTCATTCAGTTTGTAACAGCAACGGTTTCATTCATTTCAGGAAAAGCAGAAAAATCTTCTGATGTGTTAGTGTAACAGGTTTATTAAAAAATAATTTATATTTCACCAAAGATCCATCCTGCAGTGTTATTTTGCTTTGTCAGTATTGGTTATGTATATGTGTTTATTTATATATGTTTATTTTCTGTATTTATATTTTGGGAGCTTTTATTTTGTTTGTGTGACCTTTGACTTCCCACGAAGTCGCTTCCTGTAGCTGCGCGCTATTTTCCTCAGTCGCCTAGAGGCCCCCCTGAGGGGAGGTGAGCGTGAGCTAGTGTTCTCAGTTACAGAGCGAATAAACACAGTTAAAGTAACTAAAAGTGATTCAAACACTGCTCGTTCCCTTTGTGCATTTTGTCTCACAGTTCTGTTCGATATTTTAGTGTGAATTATTGCTTCTCTGTCGAGTACAGCGCTTTATTGTAACATGCTAGTTAGCCAATCTCAGATGAGAGCATAGGAGCATGCACGTGGCTTCACATGTGGGCCGCTATCCTTCTCTCTCCCTTGAAGGTGTTCATGCAGAAGTCCAGTAAAGTGAAGTCGTTGTACTGTTTTGTTTTTATTTTAAACAGGTATGTGAGCTCCCTCTTTTATTTTTGTGTCATGTGAATTGGTTATATCTTTTGTTTGTGATGCATGTTCACTGTTTCAACTTACTGTTAGATATATGTAACTAAAAAAATATGTAAAATTGCCACTGGTAAATGAAGTCTCCCTAAAGTATAATTTTGTTGATGAGGTAATTGTCACTATATGTTCACGATGCAGTGCATTTTCGTTTGTTATATATGATTATAAATACATTTTAGCAGTATTATTTGTTAATTGGATTTGTTGTGATGTTGCACCTCAGTCGCGTAGAGGCCCCGCTGAGGAGAGGTGTTCATGCAGAAGTCCAGTAAAGTGAAGTCGCTGTACTGTTTTGTTTTTATTTTAAACAGTTCTGGGAGAATAAATCCACTCAGCTGGCAAAGTGAGAGCTGACTCCTCTGGTCATTCGCACAACACAGCGCAGAGAACTAACGGCAATCAGAGTTTAAGGCCAGACTGGCTACATTAGCATCCAGACATTTAGACATATTTAAATGCTAATAGTAGTAATTTCACCAGTGCCATAACAATATGCACCTTAAACAAAAGCAAACAGCATTTTTTTTCTTACCCTTTCGAAGTCCTTTAAAGGGTTCTCCAGGCTCAGCTGCAAAGTGTTGCCTAGCAGGGGCAGGATAGGGGGTCCCGGTGGAAAGTTCTTGGGTCTCCGAGATTTGAGCTGAAGAACAATGAAGCAAACGCAGAGCCACAGCAGCACAACAGAAAGGAACATGGTCAAACTGGACTGTACTGAAAGCTGGCTGACTTGCCATTAGTAGTAGCAGTAGTCCTGCCTCTTGTAAGTGTTTACTTTGTCCTCTGAGTCAAAGTTCAGAGAGGCTGTTAAAGAGGGAGGCCATTGGAGTTTTGCAGGTTTTCAGTGAGAGCCACTGTTAAACCAAACCATATGTTTTTGTGTCAGACTTGAGTATTTTCTTTTTTAACTCTGCCCATGTTAAAACACAAAAGCCAGTGAGTTCTCTCAATGCATCGCAGCTGAGGTGAATACTGATAGAGGGGGGAGAGCCCGTGTATCTTCCTGTTTCCATGGTGATGTGCTCATTTAAATGATTTTTAGGTTTGTTTAATTGTAAATCACACAAGATTTGAAGCAAAGTGTTTGAAGCAAAGTGCAGTAAAGGCCCCAAATGGAGGACTCACAAGGCAGCAGCAAGGAGCAAAAAACCAAACAGGAAAGAGTGGAATCGAAGCTCTTTAACAAAGGTACACTAAGGGAGGATAACACTGACAACGAGCACTATTAAACTGAGGCTTTAAATACACAAGATAAGTGAAGACACTGAGAATTAGACAAAGCTGAAACTACAGCAATGATACACAAATAAAACAAATACAAAACACAATAGAAACATTACTGAACTACATTAAAACGAACTCAATCAATACCACAGACTAGAAATAAAACAAAACTGTGAACACTGAAACATCCCAGAATCCATGACATGAACAGCAGTCCTGTAATCTTCTCTAAGGTGTTATGTATCAGGACATAATTAAAATAATCTGCACCTGAACAGGTAATAAACAAACTGGTAAAATTAGACTCATCATACATTTCACACGTCATTATTTAAAAATAACAAAGTCAAAATGCAGAAGAAGCCTGAGAAACTAATTTCACCCTTATTGTATCTGTCATTCACATCTGTACGAGGGTTAGGGTAAGTGGTCATAATCACATGCACTTCATAACTGATCATCAGCGAGTGTTACCATGTTACCATGGTTTCAGCCGGACTGTGAATGGACAGCAGACGGCAGAAAGAAGAGGCCAAAGATGAGCACCGAAGCAGGTGCATGGAGGAATAACGATGGGTGGGGTCAAGTACAAACGGGATTTTTTTTTTATAGGCAGAGATCAGAGAAAAAAAACGAGTGAAATAAAACTTGAACTGTAACTGATCAAAAATTGTGATCAGCAAAAGTGACCAAGTCTGATGAAAACTCCGTTTTTGAAAACTCTGCATCATGAGCGTGATGTTTTTACCTGACCAAAAACGAATTGCAAGATAGCGTTTTGACCAGTAAATTGAAAAAAAATGTCAAAACTCATATATGCAATTTGATATTTAATTTCTTTTTTTATTTGTCACATTTAACTGAGCTTAATAAACAGTCCAGCTTCAAAAGTTTGAATTTTCAAATCTTTGCCTGGAAATTGTTAAACCGGCCAGCAGGTGGCAGTGATCACTATCCAATAAGGTTTGGACTGAAGACGCATGAGGAACGACAACACACAGGTGGAAGGTCAGCAATGCAGACTGGCAAACATCAGGGAAAGACGTTGCAGTCTTAGCAGAGACACTGTTGATTTAACCCCCAAAAGTTGATTCTGTTCATCTGGATGTACCTTCTTTGGATGAGTGACGAAACGTTTCTCCCACTAAAAAAAGGTGCGTCCAAATTAACAAGATCAACTTGTGATGTGCCTCAATCAAAGATGATCAAGCATGCATCATGACACTATTGGTTCAGGTTCATACGTAAGTTCAAACATTTCTGACCTCTTAGATTTCTAAATCTAAGTGAATGCATTTAAAGCAGGAACTGCCCACCTAGGAACATGAGTACTGTAAAGTTTCGCAGTACTCACACAAGCACCACGCCACATCTGAGATATATAGTTCCATTTTTTACAGGACATTGTTGAAATTATAAACTATATATTGCATTCAGCAGCTGTGGAGAGATGTATTTGAATATCTTCTGGTTCCACTTTTCCTAACCTGGAAGCTGAGGATGGCTGATTCCTGACAAGGACACCAACCTCAGCGCTTATTGGGTGTTACATCCTCCGTGCAGCCATTCCAGAGAGAACGAGAGAGCAACGACCTCTTATTAACATCAGCCAGAAACCAAACTGTCCCTTCCTGGCAGCTGTGCAAACTTCCAATTAGAAAGTTTGCATTCTTACAACAATGATGTGGTGTGTCATCGTATGAGGATGTTACAGTTTCACTTAATTCTGCTCAGTTAAGTGTTTTGATGATCAAATATGGCAGCTTTGTGTTGTGCTGGAAGTTAAAACTGATTGTCCTCATGAGCACAGCATCTAACAACTCTCCTTTAAAAAATCGACTGAATTTAACTGGACACACTGGTCTCAGTGGGAGATACATTCATCACTCATCCGTGACACTTGAGAAGTCACTTGGATGAGTGATGAAACTATTTTCCATGGAAGCATCCAGAGGAAATGAACTTTTGGGCATATCCTTGCCTGTAACTCATTCATCAAGAGATTTATGTACACATTTATTTTCAGTTGTTGCTCTTGGATTAATTTCAGCCTCAGCAGCATCTCTCAGAAGAAAACCGCTGTTAGCTTTCTGCCATTATCAGGCAAAAACACTGTGGATTCAGGAGGTATTCTCTGCAGTTTAAGACCCAAACTGAACTCAAGCAGTGAATTCAGATTAGACTGGGATTGATAAGATGGATAGAAAAACTGCCGGAGCTGAATGACTGTGGTGCATATTACGAAAGAATAAAAACTCGATGTGAATAACTTTACTCTTCTTAAATAGGGGTGGGTTTTGATAATCGATTCATCGATTAAAATCGATTCTGGCTTGGATAACGTGATATCGATTCATTAAAATCCTGAATTGATTTTTTAATATGAATTTATTTTACCCAAAACGCCAGAATCTCAGGTTAAACCTCACAAAAAAAAAAAAACCTCGCTTATTCAGATCGTCTCGCCAACGTGTGTGTTGTTGTGGCACTACGGTTCAGGAGCGGAGTCTGTTTTTCCCGAGAGTGCAGTCACGGACATTCGTACCATGTGGAAGGCATTCAGGAAATCTCCTCAGGGAGACACAGTGCCAAAGATTTGTAAACATGCGTTTTTATTTTTCACTGTAAATAAATTCACAGTTTTCTCTCGGAAGAGTCCAGCGTTTGGGTCCACGTCCTCCCCCTCTCCCTGACAGTAACACCCTCCATGACTGTGGGAGTAAACAGATGTGGGAGTGTCCTCACCTCCCAGAGGACTCCAAATTGTCATCAGACAGACCTACAGACACAAAAACATTTGAAACTATAAACAACCAGACTATCAGCAGTGATTTAACTACTTTATGATCTCTGTGAAAATTGACATCACATTTATATATTTACAGTAAATATATGATAGAATTCAGGGCTTTTTTGGCACAGAGCATACAAAGAAAAGTACTAAACTCAATTACAGATTTTCTTTTCATTATTTATATTTTATTAGTCAATTTCATCATCTGTATCTTTGCCACACAGGTATAGATACTGTAGGTGCAGTGAATGCTTAA